CCGTCCCCCTTCATTAAGAGGGGATAGAGAATGGTACAGAAAAACGCTCCCCAAATGCAGCGTGTTCTAGCCTCCTAGTCTCAAAGGCAGGAGAAATAAGAGACGTGAAGAGTTAGGGTTCTGAGAGGGATGTGAATTTGTGTGTTCAGAAATAAAATTATTTGATTTGGAAAATTAAAACATTTTGTTTTGTATTTCGGAGTAATTATTACTATTATTTAAATTTCATTCTGCAGTAAGTTTTGGTATTTTGACCTTTTTGTCCTCATTCACATATAAATGAATATCAAAATGAATAGCACTTCCTGTGAGATGGAGGTTTTGTTTTTCAATCTGCTGAGGAATTGCTGTTTTCTCCTTGGAGATAGGAACTTTCATTTTTGTGGTCTGGAGTTGCAGTGTTGGGGCACCTTCCTACAGTGCAGGGAGAAAAGTTGCTGTCTTCATACTGAAGTTCATAGACATTGCTGCTTATCCCAGGCTTCTAGGAAAAGTTGGCTCTGTCAGTGTGGTCATTGCCTGGACTTGCAAACAGACCTCTGCCTCATGGACATCATTATGAGCTACTGAGCAGAGATGGACATTTTTATACATGCAAGTGCCATAGTGCTGGGTGCTTTGAAAAGTGTCCAGTGCTGTGATGCTTGCAGTAGTATAGGTGGCAAAATGCATGTCAGCACTGAGAAAATGGCGGTGGTGAACTTTTTTGAACTAAAACATACACAAGGTGCTTTAGTTCAAAAGTGCGCTGCTGCCATTTTCTGTGTGCTGATGCACATTTTGTGGCATATACAACTGCATGCAGAACAGTGTAGTGCAGGTCAGCTCACTGCAAAGTGGTGGATCTCCAGCATGTTGGAGGACCAAAAAGTATGTGTATAAATGCCCTATGAGTTTGGGGTGTAATCTGGGCAACAAGGGGTGCATCTACATGTGTGCTTTACTGTGGAGTAGACTAATTAGCTCCACAGTAAAGCATCACTGCACCTGTGCTGGTATTAGGACACAGTAAACTAATGAACTCTGTAGTAATTTACTGCACTGAGATGCATGTGTAAACACTGATTGTAGGAGTCAGTTGCACCTGGACAGCCCAGCCAGCTGGGGGCTTGCTCTGCCCTGGCTCAACTTGCTGCCGTCCTGGGCTCACATGTAAAAACTGTGCCCGGGAGCAGTTTACTTCAGCTCAAACAGCGCCAAAGTTTATTGCTTTGCATTAATTATACCTGTAGATGCATCCAGTGAGTCTAAGTGTCAGCTGTGCTCTCTATGGGTGCAGCTACACGTGCGCTTTAATGCACATTAGCATATTTTAATGTGCATTAAAGTGTCACGGCTGCTCCTGGGACCTGAACCTGTCACAAGGTACCAGGAGGCAGAGCCACAGAAGTCCTGCACAAACTGATATGTCCTGGGCCCTGGACATCCCTAGGGTCGGCTCTGCTTTTTAATTAGTGTGCATTAATATAGGCAATTGCATTTTCAGCAGCACTTAAAATTCATGCTCTTTAGTTAATGTGCAGTAAGACAGGCTAGTGTGCATTTGCCTAGTACCTCACAATGGGACACTTGTGTAATTCCAGCATCTCGGAGCTGACTCAGTTAATCAAGTCTACTGGAGTGCAGCAATTGCCACACTCAAGCAGCCTCCTGGGTCTTGTATATCAGCACCCCCATGCTTCAAACTGGTGGCAGGCACTTTATCTCAAGCTCATTCAACAAGCTTTAGATAAAGTGTCCTAACTGCCATTTTGAAGTGCTGGGATGCTGATGCACGAGACGCTCCAGGTGCTTTAATTAGAGCAGCTCTTGGGGCCACTGTATGCCATCCCCACCCCAGTGCACGTGTATAAATGTCATACATGTTTAGATACCCTCTACTGCCAAGACCTTCATCTCTGAGGTCTTGCAGTTACTTTTTGAAAGCTTTCTTGCTGAGCAAGGAGTAACAGTTAACCTTTCCCCCTGGTTTTTCCACTGGGAAAGATTGTTTGTTGCCTTTGACTTTGGGAGTTTTTTCTCACCTACATTTGTTCACATTTCCTGCATGCCCTGGTTCAGGGAACTATGCTAGAAACTGGAGTATAGATATGTGACAGAGAGCTTGGGGGCTCTGTCACTTTAAGCAGGAAGCAGCCCAAGAAGGGCCCTGCCAGACAGGCAGGGTGCAGCTGGTACTGGATTGCTATAGAGACCAGCTAAGGAGATTAATTAACAGGCACCTGCAAGCAACCCAGGGGAGTCTGCTGACTGGAAGGGGCCAGGGCCCTGGGAGAGAGATGGCAGGGCCAGAGCTAGGGCAGGCAGTCTGGCCATGGAGGCTTAGCAAGGAAGTTCTTTCTAGGGGTGCCTGTGACTGAGAATCAAACTGTGTGTGCTAGGCCTTGAGACCACTAGGGAAGCTTAGGGCTAGCAGAGGATTTAGACCCACATTGGGGTAGTAGTTTTGTTATAGCCAGAAGGGCTTGTGTTAGATGTTTGGTTTTAGTATATGGAGTGAAGATCTCAGTGGGTTGGGGGGAACTATGAAGGGTGGCTTGAAGGTCCCATAGCACCTGTAGCAGGGGGCACAGCAATCCCATAGTGCCTGAGAGGGGCAATCCTTCAGTGCCTGTGAGAGGTATGCTGTGCACTCCCAGAGGGGTCATTTCAGACAGCCCGGAGTGGCTCAGCCACCCAAGAGAGGGCAGAGATATAAGGCCTTGGAACAGATAGGCCTAGGGCCCAAGACCCAGACAGTTCTGGGAGGTTCAGCAGCCTGAAAAAGGTTGGAGATGAGGCCTTAGAAGGCAGACAAGAAGCTGGGAGCCATGAGCTAGAGGGCTCAGCAGTAGCAAAAAAAGGGTGGAGGCTGAGACAGTCTAAGCCTGACACTGAAACAATGGCAAACTTGCTTTGGGTCCCTCAGGCAGCCTTCCTCCTAATAAATAATACATTTATTAATGTATTATTAATAAGTAATAACAGCCTCCCTCTAAGAAAGGCATGGTGGGTGAGCAAAGAAGTGAGGGCCCCTAGAGTTGGAAGTGGGATAGGATTTGTGTGGCCAGCAGGAAGTGTCACGGCTGCTCCTGGGACCTGAACCTGTCACAAGGTACCAGGAGGCAGAGCCACACAAGTCCCGCACAAACTGATGTGTCCCGGGCCCTGGACATCCCTAGGGTCGGCTCTGCTAGGGGGTAATGTTTCAGAATGGGCTAAGATTAATGCTGGACAAAATGCTACTTAAAAGAGCACACTTAAGTGTGGCATTGTGCATCACTGGCTTTTGAAATCCCATGCTTTCAATTACTGATGATTCAGTTTTGTAGTATAGGCAGCCAAATATGGAAGTAAATAATCTTGCCCTGCAGGAGTCTGCCTGAGGCAGAGTGATATGAGCCCCGTCTTGCCCTCATCTCTGCAAAGAGAAAAGGGATTTGCTTGCTTGCCTTGCCTAGTTTGCTAAAGATGGAATAGATTTATTTCCAGAAATGAAGAATTGCAAATGAGTGGTCAGAGTAGAAGCGAGATTGCATCCTCTAAACCAGCCTCTCCTGTCACATGCCTACTCCAGCATTCAAGGATTTTTAGAGCACTTTGGGTCTTGCTTGGTGTCCTTCCTCTTGTGCAAAACCCTTCTACATTTCATCCCTCCAGTTCAGTCATCTTTTTCTGTAGATAGTTTCTCTCTCTGTTTATTGGGGGTTCAGCTTTGAATAGTTCCAGAGTCCTTTTGCTCCGCATATCCCTGTGAGACCCATTTTGCTTGTGTCAGTGGAGGGTGGGTCTAGGCCTCTTCCAGGGACAATATTGTCCTCTTAAGTACTAGGTAATTGTTAGCTTAACCCATTGCTTATATTCCTGCAGATGTATAATACCACCCAGGACTGAGGTGACTCTGAAACCATGTAGCAAACAGCATGATGATAATCAAATTAGGAGAGGTACACATAATATTCTTAGAAGTAATTCAGCTATCTCTCTTCCTAAAATGAATTGTTCAGATCAAATCACTATTAAAGAAGGAGGCTGGTCTCGAGGCTAAGGAACTGACTGGCGCCTTGGTTCAGTTCCAAGCTTCCTTTGTGCCTCTGTTTATCACCCTCAAAACAAGTCAAGAATCCTTTCTTTCTCTCTGTCTTCTCTATCACAGGGACACTCTTTCTATCTATATGTATAGCACCCAGCTCTCAGGTGGCTCTGTTTTTGGAGGAGGCTGCTGGGTGCTGCTACTGTAAATATAAATGAGCAGTATTAATAATTATTAGACTGGATCTGTCTCCCATGAGGTCCCCTGGGGGATGGTTTGGAATGAGGCCATTGTTGTGTACTGATTTCCATTAATTTGCTTTCCCTTTTAGCTCCTTTCCTTCCCTACCCTTCCCAAATTTCTCTTCCTTAACCCGTCCCTTTCTGGATTTTGCAGGATGCCTACTCTGAAATTGCCTACCTATTTGCTGAGTTTTTCCGAGACCTTGACATAGTCCCATCTGACATCATTGCAGGCCTGGTCCTCCTGCGGCAGCGACAGAGAGCAAAACGCAGTGCAGTGCTGGATGAGGTGAGTGCTAGGTGTGCCTTCAGGTCCTGTTGTGCCTATAAGGGACCCTGAGGATATGGCTACCTAACTTATTTCCACCTGTCTTCTGATTTTACCTGTTCCTCTGATGTCTCAGTACATGTGAAATACCCACCTTGTTTCTGTAGCCCGATGGGTCACTCATAGTCACTGCTCTATGAAGTAAAAATATTTGTTTACCTGAGATTTCTAATGGGCTTTAGGGACAGTGAGTCAAAAATTGCAGCCACTTTCCTTTTGTAGAGGGTGATGCATACAGATTTAGCCCCACATCCCAGAAGTGCTGTCACCTTGAGGGTTGAATAGGCTGATTACTTCACATTGCACAGCAAAATAACCAGTCCGTCCTTTAGAGGAATGTAAAGTAGACTCCTGCATCAAGATTCATTCTGCATCCATCATACCAATGTAGTTTTGGTGCTTATGGTGTTCTAGGAATTGCAGATTACAAATAATCTGGTGGAACCTATGACAAACATGCCATGGCTCCTATAAAAGGAAACCAGGTGACCTGCTCACAGTCTCGTTGGGTGTTAGTGACAGGGCTGGGAATTGAACCTGAGCCTCCCAGCTTCCAGGCTTGGACCATGACTCCTGAGTCATCCATCTTCCCTGCACTGGGATGAAAGAGCAAAGGGAATCTTTGGGGGATTATTGAGCTCTCAGGAAGTTACTGAACCTGGAATTTGATTTACTCCCACAAAAAAAAGTGATGGGCGTGAAATGGTCAAGGGTTTCCATTTCTAGGGCTGTGTCACTATTGGCAGCAGAGGTGATGAACCAGGGGAACTGAGATCAGAGTGGACAGAAGTTGGAGCAGTGATGGGTTCAGAAAGCTGGCCAGGTAGTAGGAAAACACCTTGCTGCCTGTGAATTGTGTTGACATAGGACACTTGCCCTCCTTCTGCACAGCCAGTGTTTCTTGGTGACTCGGAGAGGACTCTTGCTTATGCATGTATGTGATTTACAGGCGAACAATGACATTCTGGCCTTTCTGTCTGGGATGCCAGTGACAAGGAACACCAAGTACCTGGATCTGAAAAATGCAGTAAGTCATCAGTTAGTGATCTCACCTGTTCTGTCTGCAGCTTTTAAGAGTACAGCAAGCCCACCTTGTTTCTCCACACAGCCCTGTTCCCTTTTCTCCATCTCAGCAAATTTTTGCTCTTTTCTTTCTCTCTTTGTCTGGCATAATCACAAAAAAATTAAAAGACTTATTAGATGATCATAAAAAGTGCTTGCACTTGTTGTGGGCTTTTCCATCTTCAACGTTCCCTAAGGCTGTGGTTCTCAACCTTATTTTTTTTCACCAGGACCCATTTGTAAACATCAATGGCCAGTCCCGACCCAGTTCCCCTCACTCCTGACCAACTGGCCCCCCACCTCCAGGCCCCAACCGCACAGTGTGTGGGCCAGGGGGTAGGTTTGTGGGATGGTGCGGGGGGGGTGTATTTCTGGAGCATGAGGGGCCCCAAGCCATCCCTTACAGTCTTGGAACTCTGCCGGCCTGCTAGGGAAAAGGCACAATTTCCCACATTTTTCTCTTTTAAAGGAGAATCCATTTTTAAAGTTTGTTGATCCATTTTTAAAGTATGTCTGCAACCCTTTCATATATTCTTGCGACCCACTTCTGGGTCATGACCTACAGGTTGAGAAATGCTGCCTTAAGGCTCCCTATGACCCTCCATGCATTCAGTGCTCTTTCTCAGCTGAGTGGCAATACTAGAAATTAGGGACTTACCCAGGGCTAAAGATGTGGACTCAGTGATACAACTGTAATACAGACTCTGTTATGCAGGTGCTGCCAGCATAGTTTCTGGATCCCAGCATGTGGGGTTCCATTTCAGTTTGAGCAGCAAGCCACCTAGACCAGGAGGGAGCATTGCTTCCTGGCACCAGTTGTCTCTGCAGTTTGCAGTTCTGTACTGAAGAAGAAGGCAGCTGCAATCTGTTTCATTATGTGCAAATTAAGCTTGGCTTTTGTCTCCTGGCATGCTGCCACTGCAGCTCTTGTCTGAGCAAATTTTGTTCATCTCTCTGGATTTGGGGATAAATCATGCAAGAGAGGCTAGGTGACCCAATCCAAGTCTCTTCTGATTAAGTGATTCTGTGATTAACCTGCCTGTGGGCCTCTTCTTCTGTACTGTTTAATGCTGGCATTCTGCTTGCCATCAGACAAGCAAGTCATTCCACCCAGGTCAGGGGAGGGGGTGTGCCGGCATGTCTCCTGTTATTAACCAGCTTAATACTGATTGCACACATGTTGAGGCAGGTGGACCCAGGCTAGGTGGAAGGTTTTACCACTCCATCTCTGTGCCTCACTGTGGCTAGCTGGAAATGATGTATTTTGGGATATCCTGTTCCTGAGAAGTAACTTTCTTCTATCTTTGGTTTGGGCGTTGTAGAGCACTTGGCCTCCTTGGACATTGGGAGTGGAAATTGGACCATCTCCACAAAACTGCCATGTAGCAAAGCCTACTGTGGGGAGGCTTCCCTCACAAAAAGCTGTTGTTTTGTGTAAAGGAGGAGAAGAGATCTGATTCTTAACTTTATTAAACATTAAGAGTGAACTCCTCAGCTGGTGTTAACTGGTTTTGTTCCACCACTGTGCTGATTTACTTCAGCAGAGGATCTGGCCAAGGACAACCAGTGTGCCCTGCACAAGGCAGCTGGAGGAAAAGTCTGGGACTTGCAGCTGTGTGGGCAGTGGAGGAGAGAGGTTTACATTTGCCTAGGCCAAAGAAAAGCAAGGCAGCATGTTTTCCACTTTGGTCAGGTGGGGAAAAGTTTGGAGAAGGGAGTTGAGCAAGGAGATTACCACCAAGAGGATGCAAAAAGCATTTAGTGTGTCTCTTGTCTTTCAGCAAGAGATGCAGCGGTACAAAGAGGTGTGTTACTACATGCTCTTTGCCCTGGCTGCCTATGGCTGGCCCATGTACCTGATGAGGAAACCCACCTGTGGACTTTGTCGCCTGGCTAGATCCTGCTCGTGAGTAACCATCCTCCACTGCCCCCTTGCTTTCGCTTTTTCTCACCCAATTTTTCCTCCTTTCTCACTTTTTTCACTTTTCCCTTCCGTCCTTCATTTTATTTTATCATTCTCCTTTCCTTTCTATTCTTCACTCCTGCTTTCTTCCATTCTTTTTTCTGTTTCTTCCACGTTTCTTTGTCACCTCTCAGCTGTCTTCCCCTCTTTTCCACTCATTTTCTTTCTCTGTCCTTTTCTGTTTCTTTCTTTTCAGACTCCTGTTCTCACTGTTTCTCATCATCTACCCTACCTTTTACATAAACCAGACTGTGTGTTTCTTGCCCTTTCTGGCAAGCTAAGGACCTTGCCAGTCCTTTATGCTTTGAACAGGTAGTACCAGGAACTAATTTGTCATAAGGCTAAATTTGTTCAGAATCAAAATCACCATTTTGGAGCTCAGAAGTCAGATTTATCACAGGATTATAGGGAGCTGACATTTGGGTATTTATTGAGGCATCAGTGAGACTTAGCCAGGATCTGTCCTCTGGGCTTTCTGGGACTGACTGATTTTGTTTGTTTGGTTGGTTTTTTGTTTTTTGTTTTTTTTAAAAACACTGGATATGATGCGACTCTCTCCTGGTATCAACAGTATAGTTAAAATTGAGGTGACATTTTCATTTTAAATGTTGTTCTTATTTTCAGTGACTTAAAAACTTCATCAGTAAATTCCCTGTGAGGCTGAACTTCTAGTGCTTAGTCTCAGCCCAAAGGTTTTTTGGATTCTAGGAAAGTTTTTTAGTAAAAAACTTCCTTTTTGAACTACATGTATATGAGGAGTGATGGGAGTAAAATTTGAAGTGGTTAAACTTTTTTTAATTGCTCTTCTGGTGCTTAGCTGCCTCCAGAACTACTCTATGAGCTTTATGGACATGGGCTTGAATAAGGACTAGCTGTTCCATCTGGGCATGTAGTAATAAATATAACATCCTTCCAGGTGTTCTGAGGTGTAGACAGGTCAAAGATTCTTCAGGGATTAGTTGTGTTGTGGCTCCATCTGGTGTCCACAAGTAAAATTACATCCCCCTATCCCTGGAGGGAAGTCTGTACAAGGTGGTCCAATAAAAAATATCCACCCCCACCCCCCTAAAAAAACAAACAAACAAACAAACCCCAAACAAAAAAACCAACAACCAAAAAAACAGACAGACAAAAAACCCCCTCAACTCTTCCTCCTGTGTTCTGGGGAAAGAAATCTGAACATGTCACTGCGCTGGGGCAGCTCCACCCAGGTCATCAATAGTGGAAGCTGTGACAGATAGGGCACAGGCATTTTTGCCTCTTGGTCTTATGCCTCTGCTTGGATCCTGATTAGATGTACACAGTACTTCTGTCCTGTAGGTGCTACAGCTTCTTCTAGTAATAGTGCCAGTGTGGAAAAATAATGAATTGAGATGAGGCCAGAAAGTTGTATCCAGTCTCCCGGGCTTGCAAAGTATCTTCCTTTGTTTTTGTTCCCTAGGTCTGTGGCTCCCTTGCTTCCAACCCTCTTACTATAGCCCATGTTTCCTAATTGCTGATTGCTCTTTCTGCAGATGTTGCTGTCTCTGTCCCTCACGGCCTCGCTATGCACCTGGTGTCACCATTGAGGAGGATAACTGCTGTGGGTGCAATGCTATTGCCATCCGTCGCCATTTTCTGGATGAAAACATGACCTCTGTGGATATTGTCTACACCTCTTGTCATGACGCTGTAAGGAGATTTTCAACTCCCAGTTTCTCAGGACATGTTCCCAAGATACTTCCTCCTGAAAGCCTGGCACTCTTTAGTATAGCTTGGGGACATACTGTAACTGTACTGAGCCTTCTCCCCAGAACCAATATGTTGCTCCTGGACCTGTGTTACCAAATTGTTACTGCAGATCTTGGTCAGGGACAGTTCAGATGATGATGCCCTGAAAGGGGTGATCTATCATACTGACAGTTCACTTTCCCTTTACCTCCTGTCTTATGGGTAAATCCCAACTTTATGGCACTGAACTTTTTAACAGAGCAGTGTGTTTTCCCCAGGTTTATGAAACTCCCTTCTATGTGGCTGTGGACCATGATAAGAAGAAAGTGGTCATCAGTATCCGAGGAACTCTCTCTCCAAAGGTATGCATACCATGCGATGGATTCCCTTATTGGCATTCATGTTTGCCCCAGAAGTTGGGCAACCTCTTTGGGGACAAGCTGAGACCTTTTTTTTATACACACTTGCTGTCTAATGCTCTAAAATATACTGGATTCTCTTCTTCCAGGATGCCCTGACTGACTTAACTGGGGATGCAGAACGCCTTCCAGTTGAGGGTCATCATGGAACCTGGCTGGGACACAAGGTATGGAGAAAAGCCTTCTCATTCTACCCTACTAACTTTTCAACATAGTCCCAGCCTCCTTCCCCCAAAACGTTGTAAGATTCCTTTAATAGTTAGAGGCTCTTGGATGAAATGCACTATATGATTGCAACGTGGTGGTGGTATTATAAAAGCAAATACTTTATTTCAGTTAAGGTCACTGTGGCATTAAAGAAAAGAAATATATTTAAACAAAACAAACCATAATAAAAAGCAAGGTGTAAAATAAAACACAGTAAGAGAAAGTTCTGAGAAACTAAATAAAAAAGAGAAACTAAGGGGATTTGCTAAAAAGTTCTCTATATTGAGAGAGCTTGCACCCGTGCAACAAAACTGATGCAGTATATTAGAGATCTAGGCTTGGTGTCACTAAATTGGCTTAGTATAGATAACAATTTAGGCCCCATTCCGGCAAAGCACTAATGCACATGCTTCATAGTGTCAGTGGGACTAATCCCATGTTTAAAGTTGGGTAAAATCCTGATCCTGGAAGCCTTGCTCATGCCAGAGGTCTTATTTGTCTGGATATAACACTGGTGTCCAAGGGCTACCTGAATAGTTTTGTATGTGGATGGGCTTTCCAGAGTGCCACTTTGTTGAAAGCAAGGCAGTATTCTTGTTCTCACAAATGTGAAGTCTGTTTTATACTTCTGAAACAATAGATTAATTGGTGTAACAATTTCTGAGTGAGAACATGCAAAAATTGAGAAATGAAGTAATGTTTTTGTCGAATAATTGACATTCAGAAGTTTAACATCTACGCTGCTTGATTCATTTCTTAAAGTGTGCATATTTTTCATGTCTCTTGCTTCTGAATGAATTTATTTAATTCAAAATTGCTTAGCACAACAGCACTTGTAAACCACCAATATGAAGTAAAAAAGGCAAAATTAAACCAAATGAAAATGACATTTAAGAAGCTGAGTCTGATAAACAGCTGTCTATTAGCTATCGTACAAATTAAGAATAGATGTTAGATGTAAGATCTTTTAATTAGTCTTTTAAAAATGTTTTATTATTATGTCTGTCGGTATGTGAAATTTTTTTAAATCATTCCCTATATTCTTTTTGCTTGGCCTTTTTATTAATAGATTCCTTTCAATTCTTTGATTTAACTAAAATTGATTTAGTTTCCTGGCTTTTTAATTTATTTTTTTTTATTTAAAAACATAATTATTATATCTAAATATTATAATATGTTTTCACACATCTTAGTTTTTAGCTAATAATATTAAATTCACAAATACAGGCTTATGTTAAAATATTAATATTTACCCTTACATAACGAAGTACTATCAGCTTCTCAGGGAGACTAACAAAGATAATAGAATGTTGATGCATCTTCCTTAATGTGATTTTAATGTCCAATAATCAGTTGTTGTTATGAAAACAAATGAAGTGTTTTGCTGATATTTCATGTGTTTGGAAGATAGTATGTGGCAATATTGGCACTTTCTCTAAGTTCTTGATTTTTTGGTGATGATGAGTTTTTTTTGTCATGTAGTGAGCATGCAAAAAACAGGAATATCCCACCTCTACTCTCTGATCTAACCCAATGTTCTGTTTGATATAGAGCTGATTATACAATCTACAAATGAAAATTATTGACAAATATGTGCTAACTTATGTAGCACCCCCACTGATTCGCACACTTTTTTTCTGCAGTTGTAATGATTGGCCGAGTTACCTCTGATGCCACAGTTGCGTTGGTTAGGAACTACAGTCAAGCCCCCAGTGCAGGCTTATATAGCCATAACTACTAAGGTTAGCTGATCATCATGGTAAAAATATGTTAAGGTTGCACATTCCTGGGGAAAAATAATTGCAAAAGACGACCATATTGTTTTGAGAAAAATGTTCTTTTTTTCCCCCAATAATGTCTGTTTAAAAATGAACTTCCTCTGAACATATATAAAACCATATTTCTAAGAAAAGAATAAAATAGCAACAATGTCATGGGGGCTTCTCTAGTGGCAGATTAGTGAGTGTGACAGAGATCATGACAAGTAAGAAAAAAACCAAAAAGTCATGACTGTGACAAATGAGCTTTCTACCTTAACTGGTATATACAACAGCTGCTAGCCATAATCAGTTAACTGCAAACTATTTATTTTCAAATAGAGCCTATATATGGATTTTCAGAGATTTACTAGTATGGAAGGTCTGAAGGGGTTTTGAACCATAGAGAACCAAAGTAACACTGAACTCTCCAAATTTCAAAGAGAAGTAATTTTTTAATTACGTAAAACTCAGAAAAATTAATTACTATTCCATTGCATCTTCCAAAATCTCCATTTTGTGTGCTATTTTAGATTTAGGCCTGGCTATATTCCTTCATATTTACAAAGCAGAATGCAAGAGACAAGGATTTCTTAGGGTTTTATACTAGGTAAATGCAACTTTTAATTAAAATGATGAACTGTGACCAACATGACTATGATGTCAAAGCATTAAAATTGCTATTTGAATATGGAATATTATCAGTATCAATATTATATCAACAATATTATATCAGGTTGGGGAGGACCGGGTTAGAGAGCTTCTGGAGGGGCTGGACACGTTCAAGTCAGCGGGTCCGGATGCTCTCCACCCCAGGGTGTTGAGGGAGCTAGCTGGGGTTATTGCAGGGCCCCTGGCA